CAATTGAACGCTATTGTAAAACTAATATAAATATTTGTGTAACCCGATGATCAAAATCTAGACTTTCCCTATGCTGATTATGCATAAAAAAAAATTCCAGGAAATTTAATAAGGCAATATAAACAAATAATAGCAATGGAATATGGCATAGTGATAAAAATAGAAAAATAGAACAAAAAAGAAATATTAACTTTTAAAGAAGTAACACAAGGATCACTATCATTGAATAGAGTCAAATTAATGGCAATAGCAGTGTTATTAAACATATGCCCTGAAAAAAAATAATAAAAATAAATAAAGACTCAAATGTAACAATAGCAGTAATAAACAGATACATAGATCTAAGGAAGAGGAAGAAAAGAAAATCATATAAAAATTTATATATACTATAAATAATAGAAGAATTAATAACTAAAAAAGAAATAAAAATAGAACTAGTAAAAAATTAAAGTCCACTCAGGAATAAAACTAAACAAAAAAGTAGACTGGTTAGCAAAAGAAGGAGAAAATGAAACAAAAAAACAAAAATAAATCCAGAACAACTAGACACAGTAAAATACTTTAATGCAGTAAACCAAGAAGTATTAGATATACTAATACAAGAATACATAAAAGAAATAACATCAATAAACTACTTGAAAAATTGAAAAATGCTATACAGAACAATTGCAACACTATTAAAATTAATAATAATAACAACAGACTGGAAACAAACAAAAGAAACACTAATGTACTTAAGAATCACAAACAATGAAACATTACAAGAAGTTTAAAGGTATAGAACACTCAAAATAAAACTTCTAATAAAAAGATTATCTACAAAAAAGCTAATGCATAAAAAATACTCACAATTGTATCAAAGTTCAAAATATATAAGATATAACAACCATGAAGAAACATCAATACATACTTTAACATGTACAAACGAAATAAAAGAATTCCAGGGAGAATTTTTCACAATAGTAAGGAAAAAATACAAACAATATACGACCACTTAAAGTTGCACAAAATAATAGAAAAAGAGTTCAAAAATTACAGTGATTATCAAATAGACAATAATAGAATTAACTCAGTAAAAACAAATAAGTACTCAACTTTTTCTTTTATAGATATAATAAGAAATATAATATCAAAATTTCTTAAAAAAAACTAAAAAAAATTATAAAAAAAGAAACAAAAGAAATGGAAAAAATAATAAAAGATATAATTCAAGAATTTACAAAAAAAAAAAATAAATAAAAAATAGATAGAAAGATATGAAACAGTAAATAAATAGAAAGAAAATAATAAAATAACAGCTGAAATAAAACATAACACAAAAGCTCAGTACATAAGAAATGAAGAAAACTATATTCAAATCAAAAAAAACTAGAAAAATGAAAACATAAAGTAATAGAATTAGAATTAGATAACTTATTAAACAAAACAAACACTTCTTTTTCATATATTTTATCTTCTTTATTTTTAAGCTTAGACATTAGAAGAACTGTGAAAATGAAAACTCACTAATTTTAAAAGTAAACATTAGTTTATTTTCAACAGCAGTAGGTTAATCGATAGACTTAGTCTTAGATAGTTTTATTTCTTCATTTGTAATTTTACTTACATTCTAAATGAAATAAAGCAAGACTGCATTGGTCACTCAAATCAAATCAAATCAATCAATTGTTGTTATATATAAAACATTATTTTATACCAATAAAATCTCAAAAGTAAACTTGAAGATAATATTATTTACATCTATTGTAAAAGTTTGAAATCTACATATTAAGAATTAAAGGAATTATTAACATTTATTTATTAAAGTTTAATTGTTAATTATTTCTTCTCTTTGCATGATATAGACTTGAAACTTTTATAGTAAAAGTGCAATAATATTCTCTTCAAGATTACTTAGTATTACTTTTAAGATTTCATTGTATAAAATATTGTTTTATATGTAACGATGATTGATAATTTTCTTTAAACAGTAAATGATCAACAATAATTTTGATTGTTTTTTAGTTGTCTAAGTAAAGTTCTGATTTTCACTAGAAAATATAAAATATGTACTAATTAAAGTCATATATTTAGATAGAGCTACAACTTTTTATAAGATAGTAAGCACTTCTGGTAGATAATTACTGAAATAAAAAAGATTACAATTAATAATTTAATTTAATATTTTTGGTTAATTTTATTTAAGACAAGATTTTAAAACGAGCAGGGACCCAATTTGAATAAATATGATATCATATGATAGCCCTTTATCTGGGAATTCTTTTAAAAAAAAGTTTGTGCAATTTAAATTATTAATTGTCCCAGAATTCAACCTTGAAATTTTTTAAAAAATTTTCTAAAAAAACAGCTGTCTGATAATTTTGGCAGGCTGGTGTATTTGGGCTGATTTTTATTTTGGTACAGATATTCTATTTATTTATTGTCATGTTATATTATTATTATTAAACCATCTTGATTTAAACTACCAAATATTTCATCATTGATGTACAGTGTCAGCGCACAAAAATATTTGTCCTTTTGGATCATATGGGATGCTATAAGGATCAGGCAAGTTTCATCTTTTGAAACATTTTGGATTAGATAGAATCTCGGATTAAAACTGACCAAAGTTAAGGTTAGAATTTAAAACGATCTACATAGGACGTAGTTATAATTCTAGTCAATCTGTGACATCTGAGGTATATAAAACATCAATTTATGAAATAATCAAAGCTCCTTACATCCAGAAAGACAATGTAAACAATTATTTATTAAAAGAAAAAGAAAAATCTATATTGATCATGATTTTAATATTAGAAAAAACATATCATTCATTTTAATCTATATTTACAAGACTAATTATACTTTTAGTAACTCGCAAGAACATATTCATTTGAGAGTTGCGTTATATATAATGACTCGGAATACTTAAATGAATGATGAGGGTTCATCTTAAACAAGCTATAATTATCACTGCTATCGAATTAATTTTTTATATTATTTACAGTATATTAATAACATTATTTTGACAAATTTTAATAGACAAAAATGTTAGGGATGTATTCTTTGGTAGTGAGGTCCCTCCTGAAAGCTTAAGCTATAGTGATCAAAAATTGTACATCGTCATTAATGAAAAATCAGAAATTCCACTGCAAATAGTGGATGTGTTTCCGAAAGTAGACATCGAGTGGAAAAATTTACGGGAACACATCCAAAAAATAGTATCCTAGATACCAAACTGGGACTCGAATTTAGTTCGAAATTCCATAATCTCACTGCAATCAGTTTAGATTGTAAGATCAAGAATGGATTTTATAGAAGAACCAACTATTATATTCTATGTCATTCGAAAGAGAATTTTTCCAACCGGCGATAAGTCTTTTCCTACGGAAATTAATGGTTTACGCACATATATACGTGAAGGGTTTTATGAACCAACTGTTATGTCAAATGTTGATTGCTGTGAATATAAGTATGTTGTTTCTACTGGTTGTAGCATTGGAGTTGGCAAAAATCGAATAGGAACTTTGGGTGCCTTTGTACAAGACTCTAACAAATGCATTTATCTATTGTCAAATAATCATGTCACTCGTTCGAAGCGCAATTCTAATAATCAAATCTTAATCGATCAACCAGCTTGGGTGCATCATATTCCATGCATTGAAAGTGATTTGAGGACCAACTTAGATAAATACAATTATTTCTAAAAAAAATTTGAGCAACCATTTCATATAGGCAAGGAATAAAAACTTGAAAGTATCGAAAGATATTGGAAAAGAATTCAAATATGAAATTGAAGGAATGGCGATCATTGTTGAATGAGTCGACGATGAGGAAGAAAAAAAAACGATTAAGATTATGGTTTTAGAAAAATGACGACAGACAATGAGCGAAAAATATGACATACAATTTGCAAGATTTACATCAGGAATACGTGATAATTACCGTTTTTTTAATGAATTTTTCTATGGAGTTGGTATCCTGATTCAACCATTACCTGTGGAATTCGTTGATGATGTGAAGGGTGATGAAGCTTCACTTTGTTAATCAGATCCTCCGCTATTTCTGTTAGATAAGTGAGTGAAACCATTTGGAAATGTTCTAGAACTCTTTCAGTTTCACCAATTGTAATAAAATTTTCAATCATGGAAAAATATTTTGTGATTCCGATATGTATTTTATCACGAGGATTAACTTCGACTCTCTGATTTCTTCATGAAGCACGGAAAGTTCATCAGTGATCCTTTGCACGACATAGTACAAAGAGAAACATGGGGCAACAATCCCCATATACAGAGCGAGGAAGAAAAATAAGGAAGCGGTTAAAGCCATAAAGGGGGTGAATCTATGCAAAGGAAATCTGATTAGAAAATTAATAATGGGGAGCATATAGATATTTATTTCAAGAGAAGATACCTTAATACAATTAAAGATAAATAAAATTGAGTTCGATGGATTTGGAGATATGCATTTTTGTCTGTAAAATTTTATTAAATTTGCAGAAGGGCGGGGAGTGGAAAAATATTATTAATAACCTTGGATGTCTGTGGATGTGAGCATATTTATTTATCTTTTTTTAAGAAAAACAATACTTAAAAATTTCGCATAAATTATGCAAAAGTGTTGTCATTGCATAAATTTAAAAGTTGGAGTAATGATCATTTCTTTACTATGGGGTATGACTAAATCATCTTTCTTATGGTCATGATCTCCGCAGTAATGTTTGCAGGACTAATTATACTTTAGTAGTTCACAGTGCTATATTAAATAAATTTAAAATTGTAAAAATTAGATATTTTCATGAATTGTTATACAAATTTAATTAGTATTCGATAATTTTGGAGGTTAGGTCGATCAAAGGATATACTACTACATTTTGGTACGTTATGACACGTTTCGTCGATAAATGAACAAGCGAAAATAATACAAAAATAGATAAATTTATTCAAGATATTCGAATTATTCTAAAATACTATAATTGGTGACTTATGATAAATTTCATGATATTAAACAAAACAAAATTGCATCATGTGGTATAATATTAATTTGTGTAAGAACCGGAATAAATATTAGGAATATGTATAATACAATATTTATTAAACGGAATCCAAAAAAATAGTAAATTTAAAAAATAAATTTTTGTTTCTTATATAAAATTATTTTTAAATTAAAGAAATATTTATCTTGATTCTAAAAGTAGTCAAATAACATATTCATATTTAATGATCACATTATTAAATTTTTTAAAGAATCATACTTTCGTTTGAAAAAAGTTGGATTCCAAAATGATAAAAAAACATAGCAAACTTGCCGATTTTCTACGGCCGGTACATAATATAATAAAAAAATCATATATAATAATTAAGATAAATACAAATTAGCTTCTTCCGGTCTTTCCGGTCTTACACGTTTTTTCTGGATTTATTTGAAACATACTTCTAATCTTTTAAATCCTTGGAAAGATTCTTAGCAGACATAAATTTGCCTAGAAGTGGTTCGCTTGTTCTTATTCCTAAAAAATTAGTAAGTAAATTATAAATGCAATGCAATTATTTAATTTATTTGTAAAAAAAATCCAACCTACCAAATAAGAGTACATAAGTACTAAAAGTTATACCGTAAAGAGCAGCAATATTTGCTAACACTTCTAAGATCTAGTTATCCCCAAAAAAAAATAATCATTAGTTGTATATTATAAATTTCCAAAGACAATTTAAAATAATGTTGCTTACAGTACGATGCCTATTATTATTGTTATAAAGTTGTACATCCGAATATATTAACAAATATGTTAGCAAAAATATAACAAGACATTAACAAATTGGATTCACTTGACTTGGTTGACTTTTTTACCTTTGTTCTTTTTCTATTTCTATAACAGAAGTTTTTAGGGTAATTATCACCTTTGCGTAAATATTACTTGATACAGGATATTCGATAGGCTCTGTAGTTACGGCATAAACAACATTAGTACTAAAAAAATGCGCAATAATAAAAAAAAAGATCATCATACCAATATCAGATGCAATGTAATTGTATATATCATATTTTGGGTCGAAGCCGAGTAAGGTAGGAAATGAGCTATCCAATTCTTCTCTCCTTAACCTATAGAAATTTAAATAAAATACCTATTGAATTTTTCAATAGTATTTTCAATAACGTAAGCATACAAATATATCCATTCATGAATGATGATTTAATTAAATTTACATACTTTTGTACCATTAGATTGTGCTAAATAATATTTATTTTCCGTCTCAATTGATTCAATAAATTTAGGTGGAGTTTTATTTGGGTACGGATAATCTATTAATTAATATCATTTCATATTATTATATTAAAGATACAAAATATTAAAGATATAAATATAAAAAATATTTAATTTCATAAAAAATACCTGAATCAAATGCATGTATCCTCATAGGAGAACTTTGATTTAAATGATTATATGTGTCATCATTGATATGTATAGTAAAAAATATATCTTCTGATTCGGAAGTGTTCATTTTTACTTGTCCCATTGGTAAAAATGCAAGATCATGGCCATAGCTTTCTGGAGCATCGTGTTCTTCGATAAAATAAGAAGAGCAATTTCCACCTTTTGAAACATTTAGATTAGATAGATATTTAAAACAAAATAAAAAATCAATTTATGAAATAATTAAAGCTTCCTACCATAATATTCACAAGTTATATTAAACTTTTTATTATAAGTAAAATAGATATCTATATTGATTATGATTTTGAAATTAAAAAAAAAATGTCATTCGTTTTCAGCATTTAAATCAAAAAATTATTTTTTACTTGGGACAGGTATAAGTTCCGTTGTTTCATAAAGTATTTTGATACCAGGCTCTTCTTTAATCATTCTTATAAATAATACTACAGAGAAAGTAATTAAAAGGGATAATAAAATAACAATAATAATTCGTCGGATCCATATAAGTGGGAGATTTCTTCTGATAAGGTCTAAGAAAAACATTTTGATAATTTTTAATACACAACAACTTAAATTGAAAATTAAAAATAAATTTTAGGTTTTAATTTTTTATTTTCAATTAATTTTTCATGGTATCGAAAGTCTTTTTATATAATTTCATATAATGCAAAAGGTAGTATTTATGTACAGTCGCGTCGCAAAGTAACGCCCGATTTTCCAGTGTAACAATATGCAATATTTTCATAACACAACTGATCCCCCTTTTTTCTTTTTTTTTTGTGTTTTTTTCTCATCAATTTATTTTTTTTGACTGCATGAATGTTATTAATGATTCGTATGGTTAAAAACTGGTATTTCAACAGGATAATTCTCTACAAAAAAAAAAACACATAAAATGGTTTGAGACAAAAAAAATTAAAACGATGGACGGCCAGCAAATTCACCGATCTTAACACCATAAAAAACATCCGAGAAATGGTAAGGACAATATTCAGAAACAAAAAAAAAAATCCCAAAACTGTAGACGAGTTCAAGAGAGTGGAGTGGTCAAAATTTAATACATCAATTCTTGGGAAGATTGTGGACTCGATGCCGCAAAGAATTAAAAAAAAAGCATTAAATGCAAACGTTAATTGTAAAAAAAAACTTTATGAAACAATATAGAAAAAGTATAAATCCTGTACATATTGAAATTTAAGAAAAAATCGGCGTTACTTTCGACGCGACTGTACAGTAAGATGCGAATCGTGAAACAACGAGTAATCTAAATTGCACAAATTTTTTATTTAGAACCCTAATGATAACCCTAATGATAAAATATTATATTAGTGAGATTTATGCAATGAACGAAAGAATCATTTGATGGCCAGCAAATCAAATAAAAAAAATTTGCCAATATAGATTGCTCGTTGTGTCCACTGTGTGCAATGTATTGTGAATTATTTTTTGTATCGTCTAAAAAATTATAATTCAATAAAAAGAACAATTTGTTTTTTTTTTTTTTTTTTATTTTTTAATTATCTCTATTATTATTTAACAAGGTTTTTGTTTTGCGTAGCGTAGTACGTAGTATAGAATTCTAGAAGCCAAAGATTGCCAAAACACTTGCCCTAAAATACTTTTTTTTGGAAAGATTTTCGTGACCCAAAATGGAAAGAATTTAAATGAGATTTTCATAATGAAAGATAATTTCGTGAATTGTTATACAAATTTTAATATTAATAATGATATTTGGTTCACTCATCCATATCAAAGTTCGATAATCAGAGGATATATTTCGTCGTAACACGTTTCAGAAATGATTTTGATAAATGACAAGTGGAAATAATACAATATATAAATAGATAAATTTATTCAAGACATTATTCTAAATACTAGAATTGGTAATTTATGCTAAGTTGATTGATGGACCAATTTATGATTGGGTCAAGTCAACATAATGTGGCATGAGGCGCATATATAAATGAAGATCTTTTAAATAGGTATAATATTAGTCTGAAAATATGCAATATAATATTAATTATAAACTTAAAAAATATAAATTTGTAATAAAAAATCATATATCATTCATTTAAACATAATAACTAAAAAAGAATACAAATTAGCTTCTTCCGGTTTTACACTTTTCTAAACTTTTAAATCATCGGAGAAGGGATTCTCGGCAGTCATATTTTTTGAAGTGGTTTGCTTGCACTTTCTCCTAAAAAGTAAATTATAAACACAATGCAATGATTTAATTTGTTTGTAAAAAAAATCCAACCTACTAAAAAATACTAATCATTAATCCTTAAAGAGCAGAAACACTTGCTAACGCATCTGTAATATATTAAAAGAAAAACTATGTTTCTTACGGTACAAGCCCTGTCATTATTGTTTATAAAATCAAAATATGTTAATAAAATATAAAAAATATCAACGAATTCACTTCACTTAAGGTGGCTTTTATCTTTCTTCTTTTTCTATTTCCAAAATATGAGATTTTAGGACAATTGTCACCTTTGCGTAATATTACTTGATTTTTTATATTCGATAGTCTCTGTAGTCACGGCATAAACAACTTTAGTACTAAAAAAATACGTACATAATAATAAAGAAAAAATAAATTCTCATACGCATATCAGATTCAATGTAATGGTATGATTCATATTTTAGGTTGAAACCAAGTAGGGAAGAAATGAGCTGTCCAATCCTTTTCTATTTAGCCTAAATAAATCAAATAAAATACCTATAGATTTTTTTAATAGTATTTTTAAAAACACGTACAAATATATTCCATTCAAGAATAATGATTTTAAATATACATGCATTCAATTGAATGATTAAGTCTAGGATGTTTATTTTAGTGCGGATATTCTGTTTATTTATTGTGTTATTATTATTATTACTATTAAAGATTCAATTTAATAAAAAAAATAACCTGATCAAATGCATGTATCTTCATAGGATGACTTTGATTTAAATTTTTAAATGTTTCATCAGTGATGCCTATTTTAAAAATTAAATAATCACCGGCGTTCAAAAGTATTTGTCCCTTTGGTAAATGTGCGAGATAATAGTAATTGAATTAGATTAGAGATATATATCAAATCAATTTATGAAAAATTATGCTCCTTACTTTCATATTTACAACTATATTAAACTTATCAAAAGTTTTCATTTCAGCTCAATTTCAGATGACAGGTTTTCAGCTAAAAGTTAACTTAAAGGTGACCATTTTTTTTACTGCCAAAATCTACTTCCGTTTGTGTAACAAATGGCAGCTGTCTCAATTCAGAATCGTCATTCGCAAACATACTGAAATCGGAAAGAAAATAGTAAGCAAATTCAGTCAAATTCAGATGACAATCAGAAACAAATGTACCAAAATTGGGATGAAATGATAAATAAATTTATAAAATATTCTATTATAATTATTTGCCAAAATATTGCTGAATTGTATCAAATTCAATATTCTTACTGAATATTGCCAAATTATATGATATTCTTCAATATTCCAATATTACAAATATATACTTTGCAAAATATGCTGAATTGAATTATATTCCAATTAAAATATTGTTGAATTGTTATCAATATTTTAATATATATATAAAATATTTCAATAATACAAATATATCCACAAATATACTTACTAAAATCTTGCTGAATTGTATTATATTCCTATTAAAGTTCTCAATGGTTTGGTTTAGCAGTAAAACTGAAACTGAATCAAATTTTCGGTTCAGTTTTGATTTGAAACCAAGAACTGAATACTAAAACCAAAACTGAACCAAAACCAAATCAGTTTTATTCAGTTTAAATATTATCACCACTGGTGAGCAATATCCTTATATTCTTTATATTTTAATATTCTTATCATTATATTTTATTCATTACAATTCAGTTAAAATTATATATTTATTAATGAAAAATAAATAAAAATTAATTAAAATTAATTTTAAAATTATTAAGTAAATTTTTGTAAGTTATATAATAAACTATTAAAAATTAATTTTAAAAACATATATACATGCAATTATTACAATAGTATCTATTTTCTTCTTTATTTAAAGCAAAAAACTAATAGATAGAAGCTTTTTAATTATTATTACTATTATCACTATTATTATCAATTATTGCTAAATTGCTACTGCTTGCTTCTGTTAAATTACTATTACTGGTTTCTCTTGATATATTTGAAACTGATGGTTCATTATTTTCTATGATTTCTTGAGAATTTTCCGATTCAGCATCACTTATAATCTCAGCCATTATAATAATGATCGAAATTAATATATAAACTGAAATTTTCAGTTTCAGTTTTAGTTTTTCAATTCAGTTTCAATGAATAAACCAAGATCAAACCAAATCTGAACTGAAATATTCAGTTTGTATATTTGACAAACTGAAACTGAACCAATCTGAAATTAATTGAGAGCTTTAATTCCTATCAAAATGTTGTAGAATAGTTATCAATATTTAATATATATCAAAATATTCCAATATTACAATATATCCTCAAATATACTTATTGAAATATTGCTGAATTGTATTATATTTATCACATTCCTATCAAAATATTGCTAAATATTCAAAACATTCTTATTAAAATATTCCAATATAATAAATATATCTATAAATATACTTGCCAAAATATTACTGAATTGTATAATGTTCATCAATATTCCTATTAAATATACTCAAATATTAATACATATGAAATATTTCAATATTATAAAGTACTTGCTGAAATATTGCTGAATTGTATCACATTCATCAATATTCCTATCAAAAATTACTGAATTATATCATATTCATCAATATTCCTATCAAAATATTGCTTAATAATTATCAATATTTAACACATTGCCACGTACCTATGGCAATGTTCTGAAGGATAGAGAATCTTTTCTAGCAAAAACTAACAAAAGGTTATATAATTATCATACTATTTCTAATAATCTTACTTGATCAATTATAGCAAATTATAAAGTTAGGGAAAAGAGTCAACTTAGGAGTGTTTTCTTTATTGTAACAGAGCTTTTAAGACACCAAGTTAGTTTGCAATTTAGCAAGATGTATGTGTAAAGAATTCAAAGTCAATAATTTATATAATTACTTTACTTTAATATTAACTTTATTAAAATAAATATAAAAAATATCAGAAATGGATAAGATATATGATAATAAATAATAAAAAATAAGTATATAAGAATGATAAAAGAAATAATATTTATTAAGAGAATAAATCAGAGGATTATAAACTAAATAACTAAGGAACTTTAAACTTGAACTATTAAAACTTGATTTGGAACTAACTGATGAAACACCAAAACTAAAGAGACTTGTATTTATATCCTTTTGATACTCTCTGTACTGCAGGCAAACTATACTATTCTCTACACTAGATTATACTTGCATGCAAAATTATTTTAAGGCCCTGAAATTACAATTTTGGAAAAAAATGTCAAAATAGTTTTTCATAAAAGAAAAAATTATTTTACTTAAAATCCAAAATTTTTCGACTACTCAAATAAATTTCTTGATTAAAGATACACTTAATTAGATATTTTTTAGGAAAAATAAAGATAAAGGATGTTAGAAACAGTATTGAATAAACTGATTCAATCTCTGTCACTATTTTCTAAATAAGCATGTTAGCGTCCGAGAGTATCCAACTTCTAGACAGCAAGGTTACTTCATATATAGAATAGATTCTGGGTAAATCTCAAAAAGATGAAATATTCCAAAAATCAAAAATCAATTTTGGAAACATGTATACACTAGATTGGTTCTTTATCAAGTGATATAAATAATATTAACAAAGATAATTTCATTATCTTTCCTTAGGTATCCTACCTGAATATTTCTCTAGGTATCATACCTAGGTATATACCTAAATAAATCAATAATGATAATCCTTAAGTGTAGTACTTCAAATTCATATTACTGATTTACAAAATTAGCTAAATATAAAGATAATATAAATAAAGAAAATAGATAAAAATATAAAAATAAAATTATATATTGTTACAACATTTTCTCCTTTACTTTTGAGCTCTTGTGAGAAATTCAATACTTTGTTTATATCTAGCTTTACATTTAATAATAAAATCATTAAATTCAGTAGCTTTGAAGTTTAATAACTAGGTAAGAGTTATGCAATCAAACTTGTAAGTAAGGTTGCTTGTCAAAACCTGTAGGTTTTATCAACTGGTAAAAGCAAAACAGTTAAAACTGTTTTGTCAAATGACTTTTAAAAATAGAAAACCAAAAAAGGTTGTCAGATTTTTATTATACAATTGATATATTTTCATTATATATATATATATAATTTATAATGAAAAGTTAATAACTTATCTGATTGGTCAATAAATTAAGTTATAAAAGATCTACAAGATTTTAGTCAAAAATATGCAACTGTTTTTTATATTAACTCTATACAAAATTTTTTATTAAAATTTTTAATTGTTTTTTATTTTATTGAAATTAATTGTTTATTTCAAAATAAGATTAATAACATCATTTTATTTAAAATAACTATAATAAATTTGATAAAATAAAAATTAATTATTAATAAAATAACTAATTATTATTTTAAACCAGTTAATTTATTAATTATAACTCTCTTGAAGTAATAAAACCCTATTAAAATATTTAAAAATCAGATAATCTAATAAATAAATAAAGTATTATCCAATTATGATTCTGTAAATCCTTTTAAACTATACAATTACCTTTTCTTCTTGTTTAGATTTATAGAATAGTACTGCATCACCTAAAACACTACAAAAATCATTATAAAAAATAATCAAAAATAATAGTTAGTACCTATTTGCAACTCTGTAGACCTCTTTTAAATTATTTAATTTTCTTTCTTTCTTGTCTAGATCTAGAACAATATTGTGCCACCTAATTTTATGGCAAAAAATAGTTTCAAAAATAATCAAAGTAATATTTAATATTTAAAAATATCAGAAAATCATCTATACTTATAAAATAAATGAAATATTATCTACCTACTACTCTATAAATCTTTTTTAAACTATATAATTATTTTTTTTCTTGTTTGGATCTGTAAATAATACTGCATCATTCAATTTCACTACAAAAAAAATAATTTCAAAAGTAATATTTAGTATTTGAAAATATCAAAAATTAATTAAACTGATAAAATAAATGAAGTATTACTTACTTACTACTCTATAAATCCTTATTAAACTATGTAATTATCTTTTTTTTTTGTCCAGATCTATAAACGGTGTTATTATTTTTTTAACTTTTCTCTATATATAAATTTTTCTTTGTCATTACCTCTTGCTTTTTTTACTTTTGTCTCTAAATTATTAATAATTATTAATATAATATATATTTATTCATCATTTATCTCTACTTATTAATACCTATTTACTTATCCTGTAATCCTATTTCAAATTTGTCCCATTGTGTATCTTTTTTTGAAATTGTCCTAGTAGAATTATTAAAATTATTACTCTAATTTTTAATTATATTTATAATGATCTTTTACTGTACCAGTTATATAATGACTATAAACTGTAGATACTACAGTACATGAATAACCAATTCATTAATTTGACAGATTATCTGTGATATCACAGATTAACAGATTGTTTTTTTAAAAGTTTATAAAAAAAATAATCTGGATAATTTAGATTATATATATCAATTCATGAATTAAAAATATTAATCTGCAGATTAAAGAATTTAATCTGAATTATTTATTTAATCTTCAAATTACTTTTTCAATCTACAAATTACTTTTTTAATTTACAAAATATTCTTTCAATCTGTACTCAAAATAAAGTGAATTTACTATGAAAATGATAATATTTGTAAAATTTTCCACATGAAGATATCAAAATCAATAATCTTTAAAGATTATCAATACAAATTTACTATGAAAATGATAATATTCACAAAATTTTGTCACGTGAAAATATCAAAATCGATAACTTTTGAAGGTTAGCGAAAACTTTTGAAGGATAACATATCGAAAAATAGTAAAATACTTATGTTAATGTTAACTTTCGAAGGTTTTCACTAGAAAAAATTTCCTGATGTAATTTTTCACAATTTGATTAGTATAACTCTTTCTTCATTTAATCTGCAAGGATTATTAAGATATTCTGACAATAAAAAATTTACTCTGTCTCTTTTACTTTGTGCAGCTTTTATTTGTAATTTTAAATTATTAATATTTAAAATATTTCCTATTATATTTTACTTTATAAACTTTATACTCAATGTTTCTAAGACTTAATTATATGCAAAATAGTGACCTTTTCATTTTTCA